CGTATGCGACCTGCTGAATGACATCTCCGGTAAAAGGCTGTTTAGTACTTTATTGTTATCAGAGGAGCTGTTAGGTGATCTGTAAATGACCCTATGAGAAGGCTATCTTTGCCTTTTAGAGTAAGTTCACACCACACTGATTCTCTAGCTGATTGATGCTCTGCAGATAACTTAACTTGCTGGGCCCCATAGGAGGTTCTAACCCACAGAGCTACACCTCTACTGCACTGCTCTTCATTTAAGTTATGAAAACAGGTCAAAACCTGGCAGCTGAAATTCAACAGGTACAATTTTCCCCCCGTGATTTTTAGGAAGTGTTTCTGTAATACAAATAATGTCTATACTCTCGTTTGCGATTACAGTTAACAGTTCACTTTTTTTGTTCAAAACGGAATCCGAGTTCGTGTAAAAACATTTTAAAACTTTTTGTGCACTTTCACTTTGATGTATGCGGTTACTCCCTACATTATTTACAGGCCTTAATCTACGGACATCATTCCTACTAATTACTTGTCCTCCATCTCCTCTGACTGTCCTTGAGCAGCCGGTGTTGTCTTGGCAGCTTGGAAGTGATGAACTATGATTTCTTCAACTATGCCTAGCTTATAGAGATGCATGATAAATCTTTGTAAACGGACATCTAATATAAGTCTATCGTTTATAGTACCATATCGCGGTATTATGGCAGCACATTATTTTATCTTAATTACCTGCAGCCTTTGATCAGTCCTGTTAAATTTCACGGAAAAGTAAGCATCTAAACTTTTTATCAAATAAATTTCAATATATTAAAAATTCTATGCTACAGCACTCACGAGTAAGCAACCGTTTCAACTCCTGTCATGGCGAAGATAATCTCGGAGGCCTTGTATTTATCACCCTCAGTTTTCTTGGAAGAATCGGCGACAGGCCACATCAGGCCTACACTTCAGAGCCGACATCACTATGTTATGTTATGTTATGTTAAACGATTTTTTGATCCCAGACTGCACAAGCAGCTTGGCGCACTCGTTGCACGGATACGCGGTCACGTACAACGTGCACGAGCGAACGTCCGTGCAGTTCTTGTTCAGAACTGCGTTCACTTCTGCGTGGCTCACTGGAGAAAATACAATCTTGAATTGAAGATTTAAGTATTAAAGATGCTTGCTCTAAAATATTAAAAATAACGTTTTTTCTCTGTTCACTTGGCAAACACTATACAAATAACTGATGCTAGATGCACTCGGCGAGCGTAGCCTCTATCATATGCGTAAATGCAGCAAAATCGACTTTCTACAATATCTCTGCTTTATAATCTCTAAGAAGAGATTAATCATTCATCAAGAGATTAATTATTGCAATAATATTATTTTGAACTGATTCAGTCTAAAAAAACTTGTGTGTTGAAGTTACAGTTGAATTAAAAATTAGGTGTTGAGAATATGCCCCGCCAAATTAACAAATCTCTTCTCTTGGTCATCATAAATTACTGGAAAATAATGGAAATTTATTAAGATAGCACTTACATGGATCGAAGGTATTTTTAGCCTCATCAGCGGGCCGTTGTAGCCGACGCCCACGATTCGGTGATACTCTTCGTCCACTAGGCAGGCCCCGACCTGACTAAATTATTCATATAAGAAGCTCATCACTAGGCCTCTATCAGAAGAGTTGGTAACAAAATGTCATGGCTGTATACCAAAAGAATAATTTCAAGACTTTAATATTTGAGCATCTTACACTCTTGACCATCGCAATTTTTGAGCATCGATCACAGTTCTCGACTCGGTAGGTATCTACATAATCTTCGTCATCTACCGCAACTCTTCTTGATACAACGATTTTGGGCAGCTATTATAAGATTTTTTTTATATCCATATACAGCGATTTTCTCAGGCTACTATAAATATTTTTAATGTCATATACGATTTACGCCAGCTATTATGAATATTTTTAATTCCACATACAACGATTTGTGTCATACATTATGAATATTTTTCATTTCAAATAATTTTTTCAGAACGAACTTCTAGGCAGGGCATCAACACATTAACGAGTACTCTGAGCCTACGCAATAGATCAGTACAATAGAATATTGATTTTTAATTAATAAATCATCACCAACTATAATAAAGGTAAAATGAAATAGAAATACATATTAATTACAGAAGGTTAGATTTGTAAGAAAATTATGTGGTTGTACAAACGATCATCAGTGACTGTTATTTTCAAAAGCGGTGGAAATATTTGTGTTTAACGAACTTAATTGCAGGAAGCTCGCTACGCTTGGAGGCTAAGAAGGCAACCGCCATGAAATATCCTTCCCGAGTGATGAACTCGCCTCGAGGTCGCGGACCTACGGAGTATGACGGTATTGCTTCAGAAAAGGACGTGATCGATGATAATTAAGATGTTTTCAAAAACATGCACCCTATAATATGTCAGAGCTCAAATATTAAGCTCTGCATGAGAATCGGGTTACGTGAGTAAGTTAGTGAAGGTAAGTAAGACACATGTGTCTAGATAACATAACTTGTATACGGGGTGGTAATACAGAGTTACGATACAGAGGAATTAAGATGATAATTAATTACGATACAGAGGAATTAAGATGATAATTAATTAACAGGAAAGAATGCAAAGTTACAGTAACAGAACGGATTGATAGTGGATATTGAGATAGTAGTAGATAGTAGATATTGAGCAGCTTTAATTATGAAATTATGTAAAACCAGGAATTCGGTTGAAAAGAACGGTACAGAGTGCAGTAGTTAAAGTATTTTACGACAGAAAATGTACCAAGTTATGTTTTTTGAAGGCAACCATTTGAATGTATGCGAGACAGTAAAAGTTAGAAAGGAATCAGTTGGTCTGAACGGAAATGAGGTAAGTCTTATTAATATGGGCAGAGAATGAGACATGAATTAATTAATTTAGAGCATATACATTATCATTTATGTCATTAGAGGTAAGAGTGCAAATAATTACAAATCTTCTGTGATATTATTTTCATTGGCGTATGAAATTGGCTTCATTCACAGCGAAGTACCCTGGGAATGTTAACTTTCTTTTGTTCAAGGCTCCCATCATCATCAACTTTCTTACGTTTACTGGGTTCATCATCCTCCTCGGAATCATTACTGCAATCGTCTTCTTCCGATCCAAGTTTTTTGGGACTTATTTCTTGAGACGTTTCGCCTGGAAGGATAATGACCGGGTGAGTCCACGACGAAAAGGCAAACGGCCAAAAATACAGAAGACAAAATTAAAAAAAAATTATGTATAAATGAAATGAAAATAGTTTAATCGAAGTAATTACAGAACACGAAGGCTGTAAAATCTGACACGTAAAGTAGGGTTCATCTTGTAAAGGCAAGCATCGCTTTCTAAGTCTAACCAATTTGTACAGGAGCATAAAAGCCAATCTTATTGTTTGAGAAATTTCCGCAAATCATAGTAATTAAGATACTGGTCATAGTAATTAAGAAAACGGCGGCTATAGTTACCTTCGTGATCTCTTTTTCCTTCTGTCTTGAGGCAAGATTCAGGGCTTTCACAGGGCCCAACCGCTTCCTCGGTCAGTTCATCACCCAGGAATTTCTTAAGAAGCAGTTCCCAAGAAGCTTGGAACGGCCTTTAAAAAAAAACATTTCAGCGACGCACAAAACTTCTTCCAAAAAAATGTATAAACAAAAATCTAGGGCTCCAAACGATTTTATTTAAAGTATACAGGGTCCGCCATATTTATGGCAACGGATGTTTGCTATATAAAAATAAATTGTTTTTTAGGAAACTTTTCTTTTATAATGAAGCTTAATATCATCTATTTTATATTGCAGAAGTCTAAGGTGTCTAAATTTACTATTACTTATTGCAGTAGATAGAAATGCAATTGTAACCCTTCATGAAAAGGGCGAGAGTAATTCAGTCATTGCAAAAAAGCCCCAAATTCGTCGTGAAACTGTGTGGAAGGTGGTACAAATTTTCAAGGAAACTGGTGAAACATGCAATCGACCTGGACCCATGCTTTCAAAAAAAGTTAAGGGATCATAAGTTCATCAGCCAATCATTGACGGCCTTTCAAGCAAAATCCACCAATCATAGACAAGAAAATAAAGCGTAAGTACTTACGTTCACTTAGCGAATTTTGAAAGTATGGCCCCTGGGCCTATACCTTCGAAAAAAGTTAAGAGATCGTAAGTTCATCAGCCAATCATTAACGGCCTTCCAAGCAAAATACACCAATCATAGGCAAGAAAATAGAGCGCGAGTACTTACGTTCACTTAGCGAGTTTTGAAAGTATGGCCCCTGGTCAAGAAAGGAAACTAAGTGTCCGAACAAAACAATTGGTAAAAAACACGAGGGAGAAGTTGAGGAGAAACCCTCGTCGCTCAGCTGCAAAATTGGCTGCAGAAGCAGGAGTCAGTCAGACATCAATGCGTAGAGTCGTCAGAGATGACCTCAAAACCTCCCCTTACAAGTTGCAAACAAGGCATGAACTAACAGACCGTCATGAACGAATGAGGCTCGAAAGATGCCAGCACATTCTGGATCTCATTGAGGATGGCACGCTGCCCAGCTTGGTGTTCAGTGACGAGAAAAATTTGGCATTGAACAAAGCGTTAACCGTCAAAATGGCAGAGTTTGGAGTCGGGATGGATCTGTGGCAACCAGAACAGCAACACGACATCAAAATCCCATGTCCGTGATGATTTGGGCCGCAGTGACCGCCACTGGGAGGTCCCCACTCGTTTTTGTCCCCTCAGGAGTGAAATTGAACAGTCAGCGATACATTTTGGAAGCTGTGTTGTTACCTTGGGCACTTAAACACTTCAACGGCTCACCATGTAGTTTTCAACAAGACTCTGCCCCATCACATGGCTCAAACATACCCCAAAACTGGATTCAGGGTCACATCTCAGCGTTCATTAGCAAAAATTAATGGCCCTCAAGAAGCCCTGATTTGAATCCTCTCGACTTTTCTGTGTAAGCTATTTTAGAGAGTAGGGTCTCCAGAACACCTCATGATTCTTTGGATAGTTTGAAGTTTAAATTGACACGAGAATGGGACTTGATCCCTTCAGAAATGCTGCTTGTCTCCTGTGAAGCTTTCCCTCGTAGATTGGAGGCCGTCATTAAAAATAAGGGAGCTCATATTGAATAAATATGTTTGAGAATTGTTTAGGTAATTCTTGGCTCCTAGCTCATCCAATAAAAAACAATGCACCTGTTTGTTTCATTGAGAAATAACAAAAAACATGCGTTGCCATAAATATGGCGGACCCTGTAATATGTCAGAGCTCAAATGTTTAGCTCTGCCTGAGAATCGGGTTACGTGAGTAAGTTAGTGAAGGTAAGTAAGACACATGTGTCTAGATAACATAACTTGTATACGGGGTGGTAATACTGAGTTACGATACAGAGGTATAAGCAACGGCGTCGAACGTAAGGTCGGAGACAACCGACGCGTTACATCTCGGAGCGCTTATCAACTACTGCGGGGATCCTTACTTAAGATTGCAGCCCTTGTATAGGCTTTGGCTTTCGCCCACTACTAAGGTCTTGATCGCGTGATCTATCACGTGTCTTCCAGATGTTGACTCTTCATCAATCTCTATCAGGTCAAGTGAATATTACGTCCCAATTACATACAATTATAATGATTACAATGAGACGCTAGATTGACACCGAACAAATGCATGCTCATCTAATTCTGTCCCTGCAGCCGGAGAGACGACCAGTGTTTGTTTAGTGGAGAAATTGAATGATTTCGAAACGGATGCTAGCTTTAAAAATAATATTACATATTTGTCAAAGATTGATATGGAGAGCGAGGAGCCTAATGCCTAGAAATACTAAATCTTTTGAATATTTTTCAAAGCGTTTATATTACCTGGATAATATACGTCTGGATATTACGTCAGGATATTACGATAAATACGTCAGGATATTAACTGACAGGAAAATTTATTGTGCGTGCGTGGGACAATACCATGGCATTGCAAAATTAGGGGGAAAATAATGGGAAATGAATTAAAATTCGACTTTTGAATTGCTAATTATAATTATAATTAAATAAGTGCAAAATAGTTCTTTCACACTCGTATTTTGAAGGAAAAAATCAGTCATATGTCCCACGCAACATTTGGGTTTTAACCGGTCTTTTTTGATTAGCATAAACTTTATAACTACTAACGGAATAAAGGAATAACGGGAGTGACGGGATTCGGGATATCGGGATTCTAAATTGAAGAGATCTTCGAGCCCAGGCAACGCCAATTAAAGGCAAAAGAAATTAAAGGCGCGACCAAAAGACAGGATAACATGACTTGGGTGCAAGTTCATTTACATTAGCAGTGCGCGGGCTGCCCAAAGGAAACTGAAAACCGTCGCAAAGGGCGCGGCGTCTAAGAAGGAATAAATATTTCGTTTTGTAGGATCTTCACAATTAATGCCTGTTTTCAACATTTATTGAAGTTAAGTGGTAGTGGTAATTACAACTAACCTGTATTTAATTCCACCTTCTCTGAGTAAAGTTCCATCGGAATCCTCTCTTGTCCGTAAATATACGACCTCGACGATGCCGGACTGGATGATGAGCTTCGCGCACTCGTTGCACGGGAACAGCGTGACGTAAACGCGGCCGCCTCGCACGTCAGCGCTGTTCTTGTTCACGATTGCGTTCAGCTCGGCGTGGCAAACTGAAAAAATATAACTCAGTACTCACTGCAGTGAGTGACAGAGAGCGCATTTTCTCGTCGACGAAAACGTGAAGTCACAGACGGACAGACATACGGACAGACGGACATGGCGAGCACAATAGTGCATTTTTTCATAAATGAGAAAATGCGCTAAAAAGAACGAGATGAAAGAAATTCCAGCCTAATTTGTCTACTTGCGGGATTAAAGGAATATTGTTAATTTGTGCTCGTAGCGGAAGTGTCACAAACCCAGAATTAGGATAGAATAAAAAATAATATAAACAAATACAGGAAAAATAAAATACCATAAAACAAATGTAGGAAAAAAAACAAATTTTCTTAACAAACAAGTTTTCAACCAAATAAAGTCACACAAACCATACACAATATTGTTCATAGCTAGAAATACACTGAAGTAATGACGTCCACTCATCATTCACAACGGTTACGATGTCCAAACCATGAGCCTACAAATCTCATAATCGCAATAAAGATTAGCAGTCCTACCTCGCACAAAAAAAAAATAAATACAAGATATAAAAAAGTAACGTTAACAAATGCTATGAAATTCTAATCAACGTTCACAGCCCGCAGAATCCTTGCCAAACATTCGTATATTTACACCATTATTAAAACTCTGTCAGTCGGATTCAGAAAACAACTCACCGTACATATGTTCGAGTTCAATATTAATATTAGGTGCGCCTTCCCTAGCCCACGGCATGTCTTCGTCCATACAGCCTCTTGGCATGTCGTTGTAGCCAAGGCTAAGAACTTGGTTCTGTTGACTCACAATACACGCTCCCACCTTTCAAAACATCACGGACATCAATTAAAATCATCAATTTAAAACATCACGTCCATCACGGACATCAATTAATCAAATGAATTATCTCGAAGCATTAACGGTGATATAAAGCAATTTTTGCGATGACCACATGAGTAAGTTTGAAAATTGTAAAGATATTTATGACTTTTATGTTCAATAATTCAGCATAGTAGAAGATTATACTCAAACGCATATGCAAGTAAAGAGCGAATAATCATATCAGTGTTCGGTAGAATAATATTAGTCTTAGCTTACCCGTGATTCGGGATCTTTACTACGAAAAGAAGAAAGTAAAGCCAAGGCCATGAAATATTCTTCATCGACACTGTTTCTGTAACCCGTAGAACTGGCCATAGCCGTGCAGTAATAAAAGTTGTGAAAAAAATATATGAATTGGAACTGAATTCATTCAGAAAGTTCAGCAAATTATCACACGCACAGCTTTCGCCAGAGCGCTCAAGCAGTATGTTCGACAATACCTATGTGAAACTGTGAATGCGGTCATTTTATACTGAAGATACCTCTCGCTTCCTCTCATAAATCATGTCATATATTAAATCATTTCAAAATTCCAGGAATTGTCATGCTCGAGCAACGCCGGGCTTACATGCTGGTATATTACATATACAGGGGGTGAAAAAAGTATCCGATACACAAGAAAAACTTTCTTTAATTAAAGCTTATCCAACAAAATAAAATAAGCAAACACTAATCTAAAGTAAATTTACATAGGAAATACAAACATCATGTCAAGACAACAATATCATTAAATGTTACAATATCATCACATTATTATTCAATAAAACAATATCATCACATTACTTGATAATTGCAATTTTGTATAAGTTGAGGTTCAAAAGTATCCAACACATTATAAAAAGAATTTAATTCGCCGATAATTTCTCATCCATTATGTTCATGGGAATATACTATAATCAGAAAACGTTAGAATATTCTAGAATGCAAAAAAGGTCATAGACATTTTTCTAACTGCAGTCATTCATTACCTGACATCGTCATTAGAAAGTGGCCTAAATTTAACGATCTTCAACAATGCTTAAAACTGCAGAATTGTCAGAATCAACTAGAAAATAAATTATTCAGCCACACAGAGATGGTTTGGGAAATAGAAAAATTTTATCTGCGTTTAATATCCCAATTTCGACAGTTGGTGATACTGTTCGGAGGTGGAAATCATTCCATCTTTCGACTAGTCTGCCTCGTTCAGAACGTCCTAGAAAAATTCCTGACCGTACAGCTAGGAGTTAAGTTTGAAAAGTACAGAATAATATTCGACTGACTCGCTTTGAACTTTTTTTGAAAGTATGGGCCCAAGGCCCATACTTTCAAAAAAAGTTATGAGATCGTAAGTTCATCAGCCAATCATTGACGGCCTATCAAGCAAAATCGACCAATCATAGACAAGTAAAATAAAGCGTAAGTACTTACGTTCACTTAGCGAATTTTGTAAGTATGCACTGCAGAAAGACTTGCAATCAAGTGGGACAAACGCTTGCAAAAATACAATTAGGACAGTTCTTCGAAAGAGGGGATTCCACTCTCGGACACCAAGAAAAACCACTTTCTTTAAGAAAATTCACGTAAAGAACCGCCGGAACTTTGCTAAAGAACACGTGAGCAAACCTTCAAGCTTTTGAGATAAAATATAATTGTCAGATGAGACTAAAATTGAGTTATTTGGTCGGAACTGTGTCAGTCGTGTTTGGAGACAGAAGAACTCTTCGTTTCACCCGAAGTGAAACACCGTCTCAACAGTGAAGTTTGGATGTGGCAGTATAATTCTTTGGGTTGTTGTTTCTCTTCTGCAGGCCCTAGGGAATTGGAAATCATGGAAGGAAGGAAGAACTCCGAAATGTATTGGGCATTCTTTAGAAATGTCTCGTGAAGTCAGCCGAAAAATTGTACCTTCCTCGAGGTTGGATATTCCAACAAAACAATGACCCTAAGCACGCGGCTAGGACAACTCTTGTATGGTTTTATCAGAGGAATATTGAGTTATTTGGATGGTCAAGCCAATTACCTGGCCTCAATCCGATTTAAAATCTGTGGCGGGAATTGAAACTGGGTACATAAAAGAGATCCAAGAAACCTTGTCCAATCGAAAGAAATATGCAATGAATAGAGGGCTAAAATTCCTATCAGCATATGTTTTAATTTTGTGAAAAAGTATTCCAATCGGTTATTATCAAATTTGGCTATTAAATGTCACATGACGAAGTATTAAGCAAATTTGTTTACTATGTCTTGGATACCTTTTCAATCTTAACTCTTACAAAATTGCAATTATCAAATTATCATTTAATGATACTGTTATTTTGATATGATATTTATATTATTGTTATTTTGATATGATATTTTTCGCCGATGGCAGTGGCTCACTAGCTGCCATCGGCTGAAGGATTTCCCGGGTTTCAGCTAGAAATGAGATTTGAGTGCTAACTTTTCTTTCCCACAATTTGCTATAACTATCCAAATAACGTCTGTGTCTTGTGGTAGGTCAGAATTTGCGAAAGAAATATTCACTAAACATTTCTGTATCCAAAACAGCGTACGACCACAAAATTTGTTTCATACTCTGAGTTTGATGTCATGTTCTCATAATTAATTTAATATTTTATCATTTCTTACAGGTGGCTGATGGCACAGTCGCTAGAGGTGTTTATCGCCTTCCAATTATTCACCAAATTCGCAATAACGCTTACTGCAGGCCAGTGTTTCACCCTATAGATACAATTCATTATTAATGCTCTATAGGTACTAGTATAATTATGAATTATAAATGTGCGAAATTGACGCACTGCCTACAAAACTGAACATTGATTTCCCGTCACTTTGATGATATGCTGGTTGATATTTATCATTAGGTGAACGCAGCACCAAAAATTAGCTATATACTCGTTGATATTGTGCAAGTCAATTCCTGCAGGAGTGAACTTTGGACATGATTGAACGAACGAGCAATTCTTAAATGCAATTAGCGATTCATTAACACAATTTACCAGTATGCTGTGAAGAGAATAATAAGCACAATATCATCCAATAACAATTATCGCTGTTTCCCTTTAATGCAGAGTTTATGTGATAAGCAAATGATAATTGCCTGCTCGTGTGCTTTCCTTTTACTCACAATTTGCCCAACAATCCGTATGAGATCTGCCGACCTCTGGGAATAATTTCACTGCAGGATGGAACTCAATATTCATGTATCCCCTTGTCTGCGTTGGGTCAATGAAATAAACAATGCCAGTGTGTGAAATCATTTACAAGTTTCTATATCATTTTTCAATCAACTGAAACTCATTCATTACCGAATCTGATGATTATAGAAAGTATCTAATGGCATTGAGCTCATCCAAATTTTCTCCAAATCATGTGTATATTTCACTAACCCGCATGTTGCAATGTCGCTTCCATTTTGGCAATACATCACGCATTGTAAGAAAATATCTATTGCACCCTCTTCAATAATATATGAATGTTTTAATGCAAACAAAACTCCATTTGTATCCCTATCAGGCCAAGAGATGCCAGAGCCGGTATTCAGAACAAAATTGACTACTCGTATAGGTAACAGAAAACTTATACAATAAGTCCAATCATGAAATATGCGTCAAGAGAATTAAAGACCAATCATTAATAGCAATTCATGACAAATTTCAACCTAAATGTAGCACAAATGTCTTCAAGTATTTAGCGGTCAAGAATATTATTGAAGAATGAAATCAATGTCGTGGTTTTCTTCTCTCGTCAAAATATTTGAGTTGTGCGCCAAGTTGCCAAAATATGTTACCATAAATCGGAAGATATTGAAAAAAATTCCTTAAAATTGGTAAACGACTTGGACTCTAAAGGCTACACTTGTTTCAGAACGACAATTGAAATGAAGATATTTCAAAACATGATAGAATATCATCGATATTCGCACTAGTCTTGTTATTTACAATGATAATATTTGTCTATAACAGAGTCACATCTATTACTGTTTTTGTAATTGTCTTTTAACAATGACACATTGGTAGACTGAAATAAAATCAATTTTTTTTGCAATTCTGTATTCCTGAAAGTTACGTGTAATATGTGGTTGCATTTCCGTTCATGAATAACTTACGATGGTTTTGGTGTTTACGTTAGAAAATTGGCATGTAGCTCTATCTCAATGCCATCGTTTTCTCTTCTCGTACTTACATTTGATAAATTGCAGGTATTCAATCTTCTCATCATCCCTATAATTATTCGAAAAATTAATCCCTATTTCACTGGCCATATACAGCTATTTTCCATGCACAGCATTCCTAACAAATCTTGCAATTATACTCGCACATTTTAGCTAAATGAATTGTTTTCAGTATGATACTATTCGCCAAACGTCTAACCGCTCCCCCAGTCTCGTTAATCATTCTTGATGTTGCTGTACACTTCTGAGAAAAATATTCCCGAGCTCATCGATAACAGTTACCTAAAATGTTGTACTCGAGCACACTGAAAATATCAAGACATCTTAGATGTCTTAATTTTCTTGCACAATTTTTCTCCAGCGTCTTTCACAACCTTCAGCGTTCTCAGCATCACCTCAGCAGCCAGCACAACACTGCAGTTGCAGACCATTTCTGCAACTTCAAACATTGTGACGTATTGCAGCGTGATGGAATTTCAGCGGATCTGGAAAATGCTCGTGCGTTTACTGCCCTCTTCGCCTTTTTTCTAATTTAAATCAGGTTTGTGATTTAAAAAAGAACCGCGTATTTATATTTTGGCATGGCCGGAGGACTATGCCAAACGTGAAGAAATAATTTTACGCAGGAAGTTCTAAAAGAATGCTCGTCTCGTGAGCATTTGCTCAATTAAATCCAATAAATTAATAGTAATTTTGATGTTCTGCCGTGGCTGTATATTATAATTTTCTGTAAATTTAGCTCCGTTCTGTCTGCGCTTACATCGGTTTAAATTAATTTGATCAATCTACGTAAGTTCAGCAGTAGTTCTGTTAAATTTCTGTTAAACAAACTTCCTTTCATTTCGTATGCATGAATAACTTATGTAACGTAATTATCATAATTACTTTGCACATATAACTGTTTTCATATGCATGGTTTCAAATAATTTTTTCCGTGGTGAGAGGATGGATTTGACCTGGTAAATCTCAGAAGCATTTTGGAAGCATTTTGTATTTTTTCTCCAAATTTTTGCCATTTTCATGTTATGAATTTTTTTTTTGTATGCTCCTGCGTGAATAAAGAATAAAGAGAAGAGATCAGAAGCAATTTATTTCTCCGTTTTGGTGAGCAGCATTCAAGGTCACTATATTTGAATGTTCACAACTTTATTAATCGGTGAGATTTATAAAAATTATTTACTTCATAACTGCAGGAGATTATATTCATGTGAAATTGATCATCTTGAACGCGTGTAATGTTGCGGACGACAGGTACGGCGTGACACTAGATGGTGTAATATATGTTCCCTGTAAACTTCTACCCAATCCTGCACTGAGCTTACATCAGCCAACCTCACTAAATGGCAGCAATTAACTTCATATACAAAGAAGCTGAAAACCCCATCGTGTAAAATCCTTGATCTGTCCGAAGCTCAGCCTG